GAGAGAGAGAGAGAGAGAGAGAGAGAGAGCGAGCGCAATGGGGTGGGGGGGGTTGTTTTGTAGGATTTGATCTACTTAATTTTAGAGTAATCAGACTAAAAACTCAAAGAATTATGGTTTCTCAACCCCGAAATCAATATAATAGCATGCAGATTTGATGTAAACTATTCTTAGTTTTCATCCCCAAATAATGCTGACACAATTCCAAGTCCGCTTTAGATTGTGGGAGATGTAAGTGTGAGAATACAAGCTGCACTTGATGCGACTGAAATCCATGTTTAGATTTCAGAGTGGGGTGGTTAAAGCCATCACCTGCTCACGTAAATAAGAACATTTAAGTGAAGGATGGAACAAGCTTACACTTCATTTAAAAACGCAAGATGAAAATGAACGACCTCCTGCTCACAGACTGGAGAGCTGTACCCGGCTGCCTGCCGTACACAGGCTGACGTTTCCATTTTTCCCAAATCTTAGCTCACCCTGGAAGCTTCCTTGAAACCATCCGCATTGAACGTGCTTTGCTCACTCACCAGTTTGGACGTGCCCACTCGGAAGCAGTGCTGGTGGGTGGTCCAGGACGAGGCATCAAACACGATCACTTTGCCTTCGCTGAGGGCGCACCATAACTTGGGGTGAGCGTCTCCCACTTTTTCTGCTGGGTCAAGATGCCCTAAAGAGAAAAGCAACCCAAAAATGTTTCAGGGAAAGCCCTTTGATGCACCAGCACATGACACGTGCCACTGTCCGGTACGGCCTGGGAGCCATGCCGGCTGCAGTCAGAGAAGCACGTACACAGCGCCGGGGCGCATGGCCAGGGCAGCTGGGCCGAGCCGGGATCTGGAGGGGACGGGGTTCATTAGAGAACAGGCAGAGGAGCAGGAGCCAGCGGGCGCCAGGCCCGGAGAGGAGGGGGCAGCGTGGGGAGCCTGGGGCCGGAGCGAGGCGTACGCCTGCCCCGTACACATTGCACGCCCCCGAGTGCAGCCACCCTGAGGCTCCGCGCGGTCACCAGCACTGGGTGGTGTCATTCTTGTTCAGTTTGGCCATTCTAACGGTGTGAAGAGTTTGGTTTCTCCGTTGTGGTTTACTTGCATTTGCCTACTTGCTAATGCGGCTGACGGCTCTGATTGGCCGTTTGGCTTGCCTCTGTGTGAGGCATTTATGTGTCTTCCCGTTTTGAGCGGGGGTGTCTTAATTCTCCTGGATTTGTAGCTATTCTTCCTGCATCCTTGATGTGAGCCCCTTGCTGGCCCTACTGTGTCGCTAACATCCTTCCCTACTGTGTGACTACCATGTTCACACTCTTGAAAGTGTCTTTTTAAAATCCTTGATCTGAATGGAGTCACATTCACCATCTCCTCCTTTAGAGCTAGTATATTTTATGCCATTTATGAAGTCTTCCCTTTCTGTGAGGTCATGAGTGTGTCCTCCTATCTTCTAGAAGTTTGTGAACTTTGTTTTTGGCTGCCTGTCCCTAGCGTGCCCAACAAGGAGACGCTGACGGTACCTGGCGTGTACAGTAAGACGTCGATGGCTTGTGGGAAGGTCTCTCCCGCCGAAGGGTTGATTTTGTGCTTCAGTGTTTCTGCCGTTGTCTTGGGAACAGCCATGGGCACTGAAACGCAAACACTGAGCTTTAGTTGACTAGACTCGATGACACTGATGTTATCCAACAGCCTGACACCCTGCTCTTTTTAAAGCGCCATCGCTTGGGAGATGAAGCTCTGAAAGCAGATACTAGAGTAAAACTGCGCACATCCAAGTGGCCTTTCTCCCGCTGTCATCATCTGTCATCTGTCCTGCGAGTCACTATGAGAGGTGAGCACTCATCAGGTGACTCACTCCACTGCTGGTTAAACCCAGCTCGCGCACCGTAAGCTCCACGGCCTGAGCTCTGTCCCCACACGCAACCATTACAGTATCTGGCAAAGGGACGATCTGAAACGTTTCTCAATGACTTAATAGTCCCACGACCACGAGCCTGACTGAGCCCGGGCAGAGCTGCTGAGCCCGGGCACTGCTGACGCTCTGGGCCCCATTTGGCTGCCGGGGGTTGTCCTGTGCGCTGTAGGCCTTTAGCAGTGTCCCTGCCTCACCCAGTGGATGCCAGTAACGCACACACACACGCACACGCACAGTCACAGCTATCTCCAGGCGTTGCAAAGGCCCCCCACCAGGCACGGGGTGCAAAACTTCAGAAAATTTCATTTTCTGAATTTCCATCACAAGCCACGAACGTCAGCCCAGGGGCATCATGGCTCATTAAACTTCACACACAGGAAAAGAGATCTTGATTTGTAACAAGGGATCAGGGACACAGCTCAGATGGTTCCCCCTCTGCCGTGGAACCAAGTGACCGACAGGTGGAGTCTGGCCACTGTTTACAGGTAGGAGAAGGCTCTTCTAGAGACAGAGGAGGCCTGAGTGTGGAGTGACCTAAACAGTCGACGTGTAGTGTTTATTTGGTTTTACTCCTCAGGAAATAAACGCAGCCGGCCTCTGGCTCTGGGACCACTGACAAGAGCGCCCTGCCCCACTCCAGCAGGGCTCGTGACACGTGGAGCGTCCGGCCCGTTCCTGGGAGAGGGGGACTCTGGGACCCGGAAGTGAGACAAGGCACAGAGCAGAATGCACCGAAGGGAGCAAACACCGGGTTTCTGCGTCCTCATTCCAAACATTAGAAACCAGAGCCGCCCAGCTACACGCAGGACACATGAACACACGTCTACACAGAAGCTCGCACATGCATGTTCACAGCAGCGCATTCACAACAGCCAGAAAGTGCAAACAGCCACGGGCTCGTCCACCGATGAGGGATACGCGCACGCTGTGCCCCGTCCCACGATGGGGTACGTTCAGCCGTGAAAGCAGCCAAGTGCTCACATGCACAGCAACTTGGAAACACCGCTAAACAAAAAGCCAGGCGCAGAAGGACAAACACGTATGGGAAGGTACAGAATAATGCGTGACATGCAAAACTAAGTCCAGACATAAAAGAAAAAATGAGAAACTGTGGGTCTCACTGATAAATGTCACCCAGGTAAAAAGCACTTATGACACATTCAAGACACCATATGCTACGTCAGACACATGCTTATCTTACTTTCGCTCTTCATCTTGTCAAAATACGACAATTTGGAAGCAGCGTAAATGGCACTGGGTGACTGCAGGGTGCCCACGACGGCGTCCATCAGCAAGACGTGTGTCAGCGCCTGCTGGATGTACTGAGGGTCCTGCGGGGGGAGGAACATGAGGCCGCTCGTGTCCATCGAACCAGCTTTTAAAGACGGGTGCTTTTTTTCAAAGCAACATGGAGAGCTTAAATTTCACTCATACCAGAGTCAGCAAACCTTGTCTGTAAAGGACCAGGCTGGAAACGCGCTAAGCTCTGTGGGCCACACACTCACTGTGGCCGCCACTCAGCCCCACCTGTAGGGCGGAAGCAGCCAAGGATGGCGTGGGCGCCCAGGACACTCCTTACAAATGGTCGGTCAGCGCGTAGGCCGCACTGTGACCGTGCTGGTTTGTGCCAGATAATCCCATGGGCACAAAATCCCATGGCCAGTCCAAGTCACAGCATATGGGAACCCTAGAAAGGACGAGGTCCGCGCCCCACTCCAAACAAACGCCTGCTCCGTGCTTGTGGCCTGAGCCCCCGTGACTGGAACTTCCCATCACAAATGACGGCTCTCCTGCCACCGGTCACGGCCTTCCTCACGTGTGCCCCGGCGGGTGCAGCCTTCACCTGCATCTCCGATAATCTGTGGGCACCTGACTGTTCCCTGTTCGTACTCCGCCCACTTTGTTGTGGTTTGCCTGTCTCATCTGCCATTTAGACAGCACACATATCTTCCCCATATGTCCTCCATCTCTTAGCTCTGTCCACGGCACCCTCCGTGACCATGAAGTCTTAATTTGGTGTAATCAAAGCCATCAGTCTGGCCCTGTGCGAGGAGTCCAGTGTATCCCCTGCCCAAACCCTGATCCTGGCCGGTGTGGCCAGAACACCCATCTCAGACCCCCCTGATGTCACCAGAGCGGGGGAAGTGGGCAGATGAAGGGAGCGGCCGCCCCCACGGTCTGCACACCGCCCGGCCAGCCCCCGTGCTCACCACGCCCCACCCCACCCCCGTCCCCACCTTGTGGGCCTCGGCCAGCTTCTTCCCAGCCCACATTTCCTTCACCATCAGGTGCCACAGGTCACACTCCGTTTTAAGGTTAGCTTCGAAGACTTCTTTCTTGGACGCCATTTTAATTTTTAGCGTAGGTATTCTGAGAACCAGGAACGCTACTGTGGTGCTTTTGATTTCCTGTGGACGCAAAGAGAGAAGAGGCAGGTAAGTGCGGTGACAGCCCAGGGTACACGGGCTAAGGGCGGAGATGGGACACGGGGCGTTAGGAGCAGCAGCGGCCTGGAGACCCCTGTGCCCTCCGGCTCGCTCGGGACCTGCCAGGGCGCGGCTGCTGTCCAGACGGGAAGGCAGGCCAGGAGGCTGAGCGCTGCCCCAAACGGCTCCTGGGGCCTGGCCAGGGCGGGAGGGGAGGTCCCAGCAGGACAGAGGATGCCCTGCAATGACCCCGTCCCAGGAGGGTGGGGAGAGGTGCCTCCACGTGACCCTGATCTCAGAAATGTGTAAACCCCAGTCGGGGTCACAGGCCGTGTCTGAGGGCTCAGTGTCGTCCTGACAGATGGTCAGCTAGCAGCTCATCCACACACCCACCCATGTGGGCTCGTCCTCAGCATTTAAAGGTGGTTCATTCTTTCACCTTAGTTATTTCTCTGGGAATTCTAGGAGGAAGTCTGGCAAAGCCAGTGTGGGGAAAAGATGCTGAGGGGACGCTGGGGTAACCGCGGATGCGACAGTTTCACTGCCTCTCCGGACCGTCTGTAGCTAAATGAACACACCTCACACGCCTCTTATCAATCTGGGAACTATCAGGCCTGAGATGCGCCCCGATCTCCGTTCAGATCGCCTCCCGCGGGGAGGTGGCTGCGTAACGCGCATGAGCGCTGCGCGGCGGCTGCTGTGCCCCCACCTCTATGTTCCTGAAGGTGGAGATCTCCACGTAGCCCGGGCTCCCTTCCGTCAAGAGGAACAGGCGCTTCTGGGTCATGGCGATCTTGCCCACGCCCTGGCTCGTCTTGACGGGCCTGGACAGCTTGTAAACACACTCGTTCTTATCCAGGTGCTCCAGCACCGACGCGGGCAGACTGACCTCTTGGGCCTCTGCTTCTGTCTCCTTCCAGCAGGTGTAGAAATCTTTGAATGTTTCTGGGTCAATCTGTTTCTGGTGCCCTGAGTTTTATAAAGAAAAGAGATTTTTGTAGAGCCGCCTGCCTACAAGGCGTCTATATTGCCGAAAGAAGTAGCGCATTACCCAAACAGGGCGGCAGGTGGCGCAAGTGCTCCAGTCCACCCCGTTGGAAAACCCCCGGGAGGGAGGGCGTGCGTTCTCCCCGCCACCGCCACCGGCAGCCCAGGTCCCAGGGTGAGGCACTGGACCCGGACCCACCTAACTGTCCTCTGCAGCCCAGGGATGGGGATCGATGGGTGACCTAAGCCAGATAGTCACAATAACTCTTAGGAAATTTGGGGGGTAAAGGACAGTGAGACAAGGACACTTTTCTTATGGTTGCAAAGACCCACGTCACCACTAGAACTAGTGGCGGCCACCTTGGGGCCGTGAGGGGAGCTAGTCCTCGAATGAAAGTGACATGGAGAGACCAGAGTCTGGTTGACATTCCATGCCACTGGGTCGAGCCTTGCCTGAAGCCACTTGTCAGTATTTGGTTATGTGACTGAATTATTTTTACTGTTTGTAACCAAGATGATCTTAATTGATGCGGAAACCTTTCCAAATGTCCGATATTCGTGAACTCTGGAGTCAGATGCCAGCTGAAGCCCCTTCACTACTGTTCCGCAGCAGGCGAGCTGTGAAATGGCGACGGGGCTACCCCTCCCCATGCGCCCCTGCACACCTCCACGGCACCCCACAGCACCCCTCAGCACCACCACGAAGTCCGGCCGTTGCAGCCCCGTACCGGCTCCAGCCTGGGCTCAGCTCCGCCTCCATCCGCATCCCACACCTGTCTCGCTCTGCCCTGTCGCGCAGTGGGCACCCCTCTCGTCCTGCAGGAAGCACCTTCTACTAGGCCCTGCCTTCAGAGCCGCCCCGCCGGCAGCCTGCTTCACTCACGCCCAGAAGGACCTTTCTAAGACGCCGGGAGGAGCTGTACTCTCTCGTTCAAACACTTCAGGATTCATCTACACCCGGCCCAGGGCTTCCTCCAGGATCAGGCCCTGCTCCCCTTTACACCCCGTGTTCCAGTCACACCGGGGATTTTCCAAAACAGGCCGTATGGTCACGTGCCTCTGTACATACTGGTCTAGGGTGCTTGGACCAGAAAACTCCTAGCTGTCCTTCAAGACCCAGATAAACATGTCACGTGCAGCCTTCCCTGACCAGCAGTCATCCTGGGCTGGCCGCTGCCGAGCTGCACAGCACTTCCTGAGGGCACCCCTGCATTCACCACCACCTGCTGTGCTCCACCCCCTGCACATGTCCGTGTCACCCTCCCAACAGGAGGTGGGCGCTGTGGTCAGGCTCTTTCCCCAATCGGGAAACTGAGGCATGGAGAGGCAGGCCCTTGCTGGCAGGCGGGTGAGTGCGGAGCTGGGCCCCGAGGCCAGGCAGGCAGCCTCCCCGGCTGGTGCCTGATCGAGAGGGTGGGAACCGTGTCCTCGTCCCCAGCCTGGCTGCACGGCCATGCCCTGCTCTGGCTCCACGTCAGTGTCAGGGGTGACAGTCATCTGGGGAATTTGATATCATGGCCACAGCTGAGTCTAACCCAGCTCGGCAGTCACGGCCGCCATCCGTGGGACAGCCAGCGACAGCGCTGTGACAGGTCAGGAGAGGAGGAATTCAATAACAAGAACTGCCGACGTTTTCAGAATTAAGAACTGAAAGACCTCACCCCACGAGGTGCAGGTGCTGAACTAGTTAGGAGAATGTCCACCAGGTGGCGCTCACCTGCACGCCAACGCTTCACAGGCATTGGGCTCACTAAGTGTGTACATTTCAGCCACTGGACCGAAACAGCAAAGAAACACACAAATGCCACACGTTGCTGGGTCCCCCACAGGCCACACACAGGAAACTAAACGGAAGCCGTGTGGTAAGCAGGGGGAGACGTCACCACGTCCTGGTAGCAAAGGACAACCATCCCCAAGTGCATAGCAGCTCCTATCCTCACGTAAAAACAGGCAAAGACGATGCAAAGGCAGCTCAGCGGGAAGAAACCAGGATGACCCAGCTCCACGCAGACGTGCCCTCAGACCCACAGGCGCTGTCAGCTCACACGGGTCCCTGGCAGCACCAAGCGCTGCCCAGGAGTGGGGGACACGCATCTCACAGGTGGGGCCCCACCCGGGGAGTGAGACCGCCTGCCGTCAAGACAGGTACCCGCTCCCCAGCCTGGGCTTCTCGGTGCGAACGCTGGAGAAAGCAGCCCGCACGCACGCCCGGAGCAGGCACAGCCTCTCACGGTGTCGGGATTTGAAAAGGTCGAGTCTCTGGATGCCGCCTGACCGTGAAGAGAGACCTGCTGCCCTCGCCCCACTGCACCACTGGGTCCACACGGGTACATTGCGGCCACAGAGCTGAATGAGCAGTGCGGACTGTTACACGTGGTGTGACAACCCACGTGTACTTCAAAACACAAACCTGTGTGCTGTTGGATACATCCATTTGTAGTAAATGCGGAAAAACACGGCCAGAAGGAAAGGCTGGAGTTGGGGACAGTGGTCCCTTTGGAGGGAGGGGCGGGGAGGGTGCTACCCCAGAGAAGTGCAGTAAACGTGGGAATCGCAGCGCTGGGGAGATGGGGGCCTAGCGTCTGTCACGCTGTCCCTGTGGCCTTACTGAGTTCCGGCCAAAACCCTGGTTCCGCAGAGATGAGAAAGGGACCATCACACCGTGAGCAGACCCCACGGGACAGGATCAAGCCTGCAGGGGCTTCATGGTCCCCCATCAAACTTCCCAAGACCCCCACGCCTCCAAGAGCGCAGGTCAGTGACCAGCCAGGGTGGCGTTTGTCTGCAACGGCGGCGACAGGACTATCTGTCCTGTCACAGAAGCCATGGCCACCCGTCCCGTTTCTCTAACTGCCTGGACCGGTGGCAGAGCCCTCACACCACAGGGCCTCACCTAGCTGTCGGCTGATGCGTCCCCACCCGCTGGGATCCCACCATCACGGCGTGACCTCTTACCTACAGTCAGCGCGTCAAACAAGCGGCTTATGATGCCGGCATCCTTGACGATGCCGGACTCCTGGACCCTCTGCACAAAGTCGTCCAGCTCCATGTGCTTTCTCGGCAGCTCAAAGTTCTTCACGCGGTCGTCGGCCTTGGGGGCCTCCCCGGGCTGCGCCAGGACCTCACTGATGAGCCTCCTCAGCTTGGGCATCTGCTCGGCCTGGGCGCGCTCGGGCCCCGACATGGACTCCACCATCCTCTTCACCAGGTCGGCAGGAAAGATCCTGAGGTCCGTCTTGTACAGGCTCTGGAAGTCCAGCAGGGCGCCCAGCAGCTGACCTTGCATCAGCTGGACGAGTCCCCGCAGGTAGAGGTACCTGGCCAGCAGCACGGAGTTGTCGGGGCCCAGGCAGCTCATGGCTTTGCTCAGCATGGAGGCACAGTCGTTGTAATAGGCCTGGACACACTGGCCCACCAGTGGGAAGTGGATTTCCGGTATCTTGAACGTGTATGTCAATTTAGGGGTCACATTCAGAACTAAAGAGTTAAGGGGGAAATAAGCAAATCGTTAGCACAGACCTGAAAAACGAGCACGTGTTCCCATCCCATCACGTTGTCCAGGCCAAGTGTTCCCGTGCCGTGGGTGCCACGTCGAGCAAGAGCCCGTGTGCCTCTTCCGGAAAGCTCCACGTAGCCCCACACTGAACGGCGGGGCCCATCACGCTGCTCCCACGCACCCTAAGAATACTGGAGGGTTTTATTTGCTAAATCTATTAATGCGGAATGGAAACATCTGGCCGTGAGTATGAAGCTGATCGTCTGAGCCCGACGCCCTTGCGAGGCAGGCGATGCCCTGTACCATCGTTGCTTCGCTTCCTTAACAGCAGCTCTGTGAGGTGCATGGTGGTGTTCTGCCCATCTTACAGGTGTGGACACTGAGGCCCCCACTTGGCCTGGTACACCGCGACAAAGTGGCAGAGCCAACCCTACGCCGGACGTGTCTCACACCGACTCCTTCCACAGATACCATCTAAGGGCCTCCCAGGTAGCCAGCGTCCCCCCTCCCAGAAGCTCCAGGGGACAGGACAGGGCCACCCTGCAGGTGGGCAGCTCGCCCCAGGGAGATGCGTGTCGGCCATGACAGCCTGGGAGGGGCAGGGAGCTCGAGGCGAGGGTTCAGGGGGCAGACGGGCACGATTCCATCCCAGAGCTGCATGGAGAGGAGCCCTGAGTACAAGTCACCTGTGTCACCCGTGACATGCTTGGCTGCAGTTTACACAGAAATAAAACGGGCGTACACACGTCCAGACATGTTTTATAGCAATTTAAGTGTGGATGAAACACCTAGCTGACATTCAGAGATGTAGCTGCTGCATGTCACAACGCTGAGACGGGCTCCTGCTGTCCGTGCCTGGACTGCGCCTCTCCATTCACTCGCGTCTCTGCTGACATGTCCCCTCCGCACTCAGAGCCCCCATCACCATCCCTGACCTGCGTCTCATGTGCCACGATACTGAATATCCCGACGTTGCATATTTATATGTTTATCGTCTGCCTTCACCCCATGAACGTCGGCTCTGTGAGGGCTGGAGGCACTGGTTCCTTCGCACCCCCAGGATCTACAAAGGGTTCGGCCCTCACTAATAGTCATGGTATCCCATCAGACACTGATACATGGAAACGTGTATGTTATGTATAACACACGTGTTATATGCACACATGCAGACATGCACATTCATGTGTGAGAGACAAAAACCGTGCTTGGCTGTTGTCGTTAGCAGTGAGACCGAGTGATGGAAAATACCCACAAGAAATAATTTTGTCATGAACATAGTTTGCAAGATGAACATCCTAAAAATATCTCAAATAATTAAACGGCTAAAGAAACACAAATAGCAGTTTAATTATTTGCTATTAAATAATGAAATATTTAAATATTCAAATATTCCCCTTCCACTGAGACAGCTCTGGTTCCTCTCTGTGACTTGCAGGGCTAGAAGGACACGCTCGAGAGGAAGTGACGTCACCTTCACTGCTGCTCCAATAGTCGGCGGTGTCCGTTTTCCGCAGCGACGCGTTTCGGGGCGGCAGCTCGGGAATGGCTATGTCCTGCAGGTTGGGCATGCTGACCACCATGCGCCGGTGCGCGGCGTGCTTAGGCGAACGTCTCCGTAAGGCCATCTTCTCAATGGTTGGCCTTCTTGGACTGAGAAGCATCCCATTTGTCCTGGGGTAGAAAAAAAACAACGCTTTACTTTATAGACATGATAACGGTTGACGCACCGGCCTCAACTAAGCGTCCCCTCCAACATCGCGGGCAGGATCGGATCTTCTCACACACAAGTAAGGGGGAGACAGCGGGAGCAGCGTGTCTGCATCGCCCAGAAGGGACCACGACACACAGAACAAGCGTCCACAGTGGATGCACGTTTGATGGTTTCAGGAAACCCATCACGGAAGAGGGGGGGAAACAGGCTTTGGAGACGGTGACAATGTGAGGAGAAGATGGGAGGAACAGCACACACACAGACCCAGAGGAGCAGACGCAGGGAATGTGCTCGAGTCCACTCCCCGCTCCGCAAAATAGAAGTACGCAGAGAGGCCTGTTACCCAACGCGTGAATCGCTACACGTGAGACTTTTCCGATTGAATCTATTGTTTATCCGCCCAAATAACACTGCGCCCCGTGAGCATCTGGACCCCCAAGAGTCGTGCACCCCTTGTGATGACGACAGTACCTGTCCTCTTCCGACTGCGTGTTAAGGTCCATCTGAGCAAAGGCGTCCATCTTCCTGTTGAGCAGGGCTTTAAGAAAAGAATGAAACATGTAGGTTTCCAAAACCTGAAAGAGACAACAGGAAAGGCTTACTGGGACGTGCACTCGCACGTAGTCAGAGCTGGGAGCTGAGCAGCACCAGAGAAGGCCAGGCCAGGACACTCAGGACCGGTCACGGAGCCGACCCACAAAGGAGGGGGACACGCAGGGGGCTCGGCACAGCGCCACTGGACGCCCGGGCACAATCATGAAACAAGCGGTGCGCTGAGTCGGGCTTTTGTCCGACCCCATTCCATCCCCTGATTTCTCCAGGCTCCTCTGTGACACCTCTGGTCCAGCCTGTGGTCTGGGCCTGTGTCAGCAGCGCCTTGTGGTCCTTGCCCACTCACGGGGAGGGCCTGTCCATGGGGGGCGAGGGCCTGTCCACTGGGAGAAACTGAAATGTCAGGGAGGGAACAGAGTCCCCGACGGGAGGGAGTGAGCAGGGGCCCAAGCCTTCCCAAGCGCTGAGTGGCCCGTCTGCGTGGCCTAGTGGGAGGGCTGCTCTCGCCGCCCCTAAACGTGCCCCGAAAGGATCAGGAGGCCGGCCAGAGAGAGCCCTGAAACGTTACTTTTCGTAACTGACAAGAACTGAAACAAGCCAAGTGCTCATTACCTGGGGGACAGAAAACCAAAGGTGCCGCATCCACACGCCGGGTGTGGCTCAGGGAAGAGGAGCGAGGCAGAGGGCACAGGCCACCCACACCAATGGGACGCTCATCAAAGTGACACGCAGCCCCGAGGGGGCCGGGAGAGGGCACGGGGGTTGGGGGGGCGTCTGGGGTGACAGGGAGGCTCTAGAGCCAGACTGCGGAGCTGGTTACCCAGGTGGGCAACACATTTGTCAAAGTTCATCACACTCGACACAAAATGGGTGCATTTTGTTCTATGAAAATTATACTCTAAAAAGCCCATTAAAAATAAGAGATGTCCAAAGGAACCAAGCTAAAACAAACCTTTCAGAATGCTAATGCGCTTAGTAAAATACTAACAGATGTTGAAAACATTTTGGAAAATGATTTAAATATGGAAAAATGTTAAGAACACACACGCGCACAAGCCCCACACACCTCCTACCTGTTTATAGAACAGCTGGTCCCCTGGAGCTCGTGTTTTAAGATACTCTTCACTATTAAATACTCTGTGTTCATAATTCAAGTGATTCTTCACTTCCCTGACAAAGAGAAAGGGCCTCAGTGTTAAAGTGTTTCTAAATACATACAAAAATATTGCTGTTGGCAGCAGAAAAGTGGCGACAAGAAATACACGCTTTGAAAAGCCCCGTTCTTCAGAGAGATTATGCTGACCCCAGAAGGACACAGTTTGGGTGTATTTTGTGGTCAAGCTGTTTCGTCACTTCAAGCACAGCTTTTCCCTCCAACTGGAATGACCCTCCAGGCGGCAGCGTCACCGTTGTCCTCAGGCCCCCTTGTTCCTTACGCAAATGAAGACGCAACAATCAACAACTGTTCATACAAATAAAACTGAGTTCAGGGGTGCTGACCCGGGAAGGGCAGCCAGACGCTGTTAACCCAGCTTGGCCGCCGGCGTGACCCCCACAAGCCACCTCACCTCTGCACCCCACTTCTTCATCGAGCTTATAAAGTATTAAAAAATAAAACACCCAACCTTGTTCATGAAAGATTTCGTCTTAAAAGGAAAACAGCATACCTATGACCACCCAAATGATGCCTCTTTGCTCAAAGAGATCATACAACCTGTGTGTGACACACCATCCCGTTTCTTTCCAGCAAACAATTTGCTTTATGTAAATACATATATCAAAAGGGTTCGGCCATTCAAATGTCACTTTTGAAATAATCACCCAGAGTGCTGGCAAGTGGGCAAGCTCTGGTCTGACGCCCCCAGGGGAGAGGGGGCCCTTCCAGCTGCTCTCTTACAGAGCTGGGGGGTTTCAGTCTCCTAAGCACCAGGGGCCGCTGCCATCAAGGACCTGCGAGCGGGCTGAGCCCCCTCTGACTGACACTGGAAATGTTTAAAATACCTGAAGATGCTGACAAGCAGGTGCAGGGCGAGGTGCTGTATCTGGGTGTTCAGCCTCTGCTGCCAGGCCCGCCTGCAGGCTCGCCCGTCGTTCAGGTCGGTGCTGGCCCCCAGGCGAGCGAGGTCCAGCTCGTGGTGCAGCTGGAGGCCCTGGACCCTGGAGGGAGCAGACGGAGACGGACGTGACACTGGTGCCTGGCAGCAGAGTGCTCCCAGGGAGAGGGTGAGCTCTGGCAGACGCCTGGACACTTTTAGGAGGCTCAGAATACCCATCAGTAACTCGGGGGGCATTAAAAAGACATCCCTGGAGTGGGTGCACTTCCCAACACAAACGGTTCATGACTGCAGACCTCACGGAGGCCTTGACTTTGTCCGCCCACATTTTTATCCAAAATGAATCATTCTGTCCCCCGTGCTCTGCCCAGCGAGGGCACACACACCCCCCCTTCCAGGATGGCCAAAGCGTTTCCAGCTCAAGCCTCTTGACTGGCAGGTGAGGGCTGCTGGCATAGGACACCGCACGCCCTGCCCGGGCACACTCGCATGCACCCAACGTCCTGTGTGTCACAACTCCTGGCCTGCCAGGGGACGGCCACTTCCTCATCTGGATGTCCTCAGGGACAGGAACTCGCCATTGCCTCTAACCTGTGAGCCAGCAGCAGACAAGTCCCAGCCTCCCCAACCCCACACACGGCTGGGAAAACAACAGCATTCCCAGGTTTTAACTGCAGAGTAGATGCACCGACCCGTGTTCATCCCACCACTATCTCCTGAGCACTGACTGCGCGCCAGGCACTGCGAAGCCCAGGCGAGTGGGCAGAGGGAAGCAGATGAGCGCACCACCAAGTCGGAAGTCACGGGCGGTCAGGCCAGGACTCAGAGCGGGGCCGTGGCTAGAAGTCAGCCAGGCCGGGCGCCGGACAAGAGCGCACCTAGGACCTTGGGCCTGGGAGGTGAAAGGCACCCGCGCGGCTGTGAACTGATGGGGGCACCTAGCTGCCAAAGGCGCCACATGGGGGGGGGTGAGACCAGGTCCCAGTGGTCAGCAGGGGGCAGGGCAGGGGCACTCTCTGGACCCCCACATGTGACGAGAAGCTGCTGCTGGGGCGGGCGCCCCCACAACAGCCAGGAAGGGGGATGAGCAACTGTGAGGTGGCACCAAGCAGCTCGGGGACCCCCGGGACAGAAACTGCACAGATGTCCTGCAGGAGGATGCACAGGGCAGCCTGCAGCAGCGCCTCCTCCCGTCTCTGCAGGAGAAGGCTGCCCGCCCCAGGCGCTCCGCCAGCATGGCCCTGAGCCGAAGCCGCCCGTGAGGGCCGGGGGCCCCTGTCCCTGCCCCCCAGGCCTGGCGGGGCAGGGAGGACACACTTCTGAGCCCAGTGAGGAAAGCAGGGGGGCAGAGAGGACAGCGAGGCGGCCTGTTGCCCCTCCCGGCTGAGCACTGCATGTGGACACACCGACACTCCAGAACCCCAGGGGAGACTGGCCGCCACTGCCCAGTCCACGGCCTCAGAGCCTCTGCAGATGTGCCACTGACCACACACGGGTCAGTTCACATTTATAAACCAGCATCTCCCGTGGTGAGACACTACCAGACACCACATCCCACCGTTTCTTTTTGGGGGGAGGGGTCCAGGAATCCAACCCTCTGGGTACACTCTAAAACTCACACGAGTACAGGTGGACCAAGGCGAGAAGCTTATCTTAGGGGGGACACCTGACCAAAGTCACACTTGGGAATCTGCACCAAACACCAGCAAACCTCAGTCCTCGAACGTCGCCCTCTAGACGTCAGGTCAGGGGAAAGTGGTTCTGGCTTATCAGAAAAGTACACAGACCACTAGGAATGTGGGTTTTGCAGAGACAGTCTCCCCAGGACAGCTGGCTCAAGCTCCCGGCGGGCCCCAAAAGCAAAGCCTGTGGGCTCCACGCCCACAGCCCAGGGAGGACACTCAGTCTCCTGTGGGCACAGAAATTTTTTAAGATGAAGGAACGATGATAAAGGTGGCACGTCTACATATTTTGCAGAAACCATCCAGGTAGAAGGAGTAATTGGCTGAACTGTGTCCCTACAAAGTTCACGTGTTGAAGTCCTAATTCCCAGGACCTCAGAAGGCGACTATATCAGGAGATAAGAGAGGAGATACAGCGGTGATTTGGCAGAATGAGGGCGTTCGGGCCCTGATCCAATCTGACCGGTGTCCTTACAAGAGGAGATCAGGACATGGACGCACAGAGGGACAACCAAGTGAGGACACAGGGAGGAGACAGCCGTCCCCACGCCCGGGAGAGAGGCCTCAGGAGGAGCCAGCCGGGGGAGACCCGGGCCCGGACTTCGGCCCCCAGGGCAGTCCAACAACAAGTGTGTTGCTTCAGTGGTGTCTGTCACAGCCCGAGCTGACTGACACGCAGGGAAGGCTCAGAAATGAGAAAAGCCAAGCCGGGGCGCGGAGACAGGCACCCCGCTTCGTCCCCTGCTCGCAGGCTCAGCTCTTCCGACACCTGATCTCCCGGCAGACAGAATAGGGGGGAACACGGGCTTCCCCACAAACAGCACGGCCTGGCTCCTTGCTGCACTCACCCTGCCCCCCATGCCCACGGATTCCGCCTGGAGTTGCCCTGACCGCGGGTCCATCCCACGGGCTGGGGGGACTAAACACAGGATCTACTCTGCTACCATTTCATTAGATTCCAAAGGAAAAAACGTGCCAGGCGGAACGACCCGCAGGAGCCCTGGCGCTGCCCCATCCTGTCCGCACATCCCTCCTGGGGTGCCAGGCCCCCCAGGACGCACCTCCATCCCACACAGCAGTCCCCACACCCCTTTCACCTGGCACACGTGTAAGAGGGTCCCCGCCAAGCCTCTGCCCGCCACAACGGCCCGCAAAGCCTAAAATATTTATTATGTGGCCCGTTGGGGAAGAAGGCTGCTGATGCCTGATTAGGCCAATGAATCAGCAGAAGAGATGCAGGAAACAAGGCTGAACGGGCAGCACTGAGAGAGTGCCGAGGGGGCGAGAAGAGACACCGCATCCTCCTCCGGGATGGCGGGTCACACCCGGCAGGGTCCCCAGGACTGACAGTCACTGGGCAGGGGCCACGTCTGATCTGCTCATTAGCTCACATATGCCGCTCAGCGTGAGGCATCTAGTGGGTGCTGGAGAGATATCGGGGGGGGGGTGAGCAAAGGAGAGGGAGCTTCACAGGTCACAGCACAGGATCCTGGGCCACAGAAGACAGGGAGGCTTCCCAGGGGATGTGACCACCGTCACCTGACTCAACAGGGCCATCATTAGTATTTAAACAAGATCAGCATGAAGACAGATGACTTTTATTTTTAAAAGCCCACAAATAACTTCCACACGCTTAATTTAAATACATAAAACCTCCATTAATAACAGAAGACTGGAAAAGATACTCAGAACTGACAAGCACAGAACTTGAACCACAATGTTGTCAAACGCATCGTGTTTCTGACTTTACCTCTGAATAAACGTCTGTGCAGCCAGGAGAGGGATGTCGGGGACGTCCATGTTGTCACTAGAGGAGGTGATGCTCCCATTGTCAATATTTACCAGAATTAAACCATCAGCTTCCTGTGAAATAAGTGCAAAGACCGACGTGAGAATTTCGATGTACACCCATCTTTGGAAACTCCACAATACATTTTTGCATTCACTGAGATAGCGTCATTGTTAATTAAATTACCCATCCTAATATGCACACAGACCTTTCTATCATCTCTACCCAAACAACGCAGCAAATGCCATGAGTCATGTTACGGCGCTAACTGCCTGTGTCTCTGAGTCAAGATTCCAACACACGGGGTCAGGATTTCCCCTGCCCTGGCACAAACACTGCGGGCACTACTCCGGGGAGCCTGGAGAGAACATTCCAGAACTACAATGAGAGCAACACCGACATTCAACACCCAACGTGTCGGTTCAGCCTCCCTGCCAGCTCTGCCCTCCAAGAACCAGAGTGTGGGCAGGCCCATGGCCTCACTGACCACACACACACACTTAGCATTTTTGGAATACGAACATGGATTACTTATAAAGTCTTAACTGTGACAAAATACACAAATAATGAGTCATGCACCACAGTCCTGCAATTCAACAGTCCCTGGAATGTGTCGCCGCAATCTCTCTGAAGGTCGCCACTCCCCACTGGGAGTGGGAATATGCACAGACAACGTCCTCCCAGGAACACACGTGGCACCGAGTGGGCCTGGTGAACAGCGGGGTCCTCGTGTCCCTCAGCGCCGTACGAGTACAGGTCTCCGCACAGACGTGCCGCAGCGTGGCCTCCAAGCTCCTGGCCCCACAGACAAAAACACCCAAACCCCAAACGCTTTCAGCTAAACCCTGCTGCGCGTCTTGAAATCCCCCGGGACAGGTAAATCATTAAAAGAGATCCCTTCATGACTGCTGACTGGAACTGTTAAGTAAACATCACAAAACGTTTCCCTTCTGAAGGGTCTGATGCAAGATGGGACTTTTTTTTATTTTCCCCCTAATGACTAAAAAAAGAAACCCAGTTTAAACTTCAGAGCATGGCTTGTTTTTTTCTCTTTTGGAAGGTGGACTGGATTACGCTTTTCCGTTCCTACCATGAAGGTCTGAATGGCCTTTTCTTAAAGTGTGTTTGTCCCCCGGTGAGTCACTTGCTTTGGCAAGCACAGGGAGACACCCAGCTCCTTCCTCAGAGGGGCCGGCCAGCACCACACCTACTGCCTTTCTGGGGATTTGCTCTAAAGGAACAGGGCACTGGGGCCGTGTGCAAGGGCTGCTGGGGCCGGGAGGGGTGCACGGCAGGAAGTGAGAACCTGCCTGCAAAGGTAAGGCGCTTGACACCAGCATTCCCTGGGGACACGCACATCAACCCCACAGCGAGGTCCCACTTCCCACCCACCAGGACGTACGCGAGGCTCAAAAAGACCGACAGCCACAGGTGTTGACAAGGATGAGGACAGCGGGTCTCTCCTCCATGGCTGGTGGGGAAGGAGGACGGGGCAGCTGCTTCGGGAATCAGTCTGACCAGGTATCAAACATAGAGTCCACTCCCAGGGGACTGAAAGCGCTGGTCCACACAGAAACAGGCCTGTGGGCGCTCACACAGCTGCATTCTTCACAACAGGCAAAAGGCAGAAACAACTCAAATGTCCATCCACTGACGAATGGACAAACGGTACAACAGTCATACGGCAAAACCCTACTTGGCAATAAGAACTGAGTCATGCTACCTGCTCCAACATGGGTGAACCTCAAAAAACACGCTGAGCGAAAGCTGCCAGACACAAAAGGCCAGGTGGTGACTCCATTCACAGAGAAGCCACAGGTGTGGGACAGGCAAAGCCAGAGAGACAGAAAGTAGATTGTCGCTGGGGGCTGGAGGGGGAACGGAAAGGGGGTGACCGCTGATGCATAGTGGGTTTCTTTGTGGGGTGATGAAACTGTCTAAAATTAGTTGACACAATTTTACAAAGTTAGTGAAAGCCACTGGACTGCACATTTTGCTCAGGTAAACTTTGCGGCATATAAATGATATCTGGATGAAGCTGTTTTAAAGAACCAAGCCTGCTCTGCCTGCTGGCAGTGTCACAGTATGTATGACAAACCCATGACACCAGCTCACCATCTAATTTATGCCGTCTCCAATTGGCGTCACAGTAAAAACAGCTCCCACGTACTAAGCACCTACTATCTGCCAGCCACTGTCCGAGCGACTCCTTTGATCCTCGCCATAACGAGGCCAGCACACTTCTTGGTCTTTCACGCCTGGGACTCTGAAGGGTTCACCATGCTGTCACAGGCCACTCACACAGCGAGAAAACGGCCAAAGCACTCATCAAGGCCCACAAACCCCCCGGACACTGATAAGCATGCTGCATACACATGCATTTTCCAGGAAGACAGTCCACGGGAAGACAGAAGCTTAATAAAAAAGAAAGAAAACAGAGCAATAACAAGGGCAGCTACTATCTACCAAGCCGCAGTCACGGGCCGGGCGCTGGGTGGGGGCGCGGGGCGGTCCTCAGCTCGGAGCCCTGCCCATGGCAACGCGTCTTTGCCCCACTTCACAGATGAGGAAACTGAGGCTTAGCAAAGGCAAGTAACTCACTCAAGGTCGGGAAACCAGTAGGCAGCAGAGGCCACACTTGAACTCGGGCTTCATCGCCTCCAACGCCTATGTGCTCCTCACTGGAAAGCTCTGGGAAGCCATGTGGCTGCAGTAAATTTAAGTGACCGAGAAGGGACCCAGGGCACTCAGGACGCCGTGGCCCTGGACACAGCCCACGGTAGCAGCAGGGGGACGGTGCGAGGACAAATGAGGCAGTACACCATGTATGTGTGTGGCGCCTGGAGCCCACGCACTCAGTGATGGAAGTGGCCCTGTGACCTCGGCCCTCACTTCAGGCACTTCCAGGGCAACTTGCCATGAGGCCCCACCATGGGCTCCCAAGAACTCAGCGTTCTAAATCACACGGGCGACACCTAACCTTGCTGACTTCTTCAAAGTGGTTGAGGTGGCAGCCCATGAGGAAGGACGTGGGGGCCATGACGAAGTCCAGCATCTGCCCCGACAGGATGGGCACGAACGTGTGCTGCCACTGCAGGGGGTGCAGGTAGGCCAGGAAGCACTCGGCGACCAGCGTCAACAGGGCCCAGTTGGAGGAGAAAAACACAATGCGTTGCTCCGTCAGAAGGCACGTCAGGATCTGGGGGGACCAACAAACCGTGTGCACGCTAACGACGGGCTCGGTCAGCTCCAAACGCACGTAGACACGCCACCCCGCAAAACCAGACGAGACAAGGTTCCACCCAGGGGGCTTCCCTGCTCCATGTGCCCAAACGAAAGTCACTCGGGCCCCCACCACCACCACCACCAAAAGTGCTATCTGCAGACATCGGAGTGAATGTTGGCTCGAAGCAGAAAAACATGAATGCGTGGAGTCCGCAGGTCCTGAGCACCGCAGGAGACGCTTGCGTTTGAATCGTCTCCGATATAACCGCAGCTCCGATGCCCATTTAGCCAACGGGCATGCGACCCTCAAGTGTGTGTGGGTCGGGGGGAGGGGGGCGCACCTGCAGCACCTTCTCAGGTCGGAAGCACAGCAAGGGCAGGTGAAGGTCCACGTCGACGACGGGGCTCTCAGGGTCCGCTCGCGAGGGAAACACGACTTGGAGGGGTTTCATGTTAAATATCTGCAAAGACCAATTTCCGTAATCACCGAGCCGCTCCCAGCGGAGGCTGAGCTGCATGAAAATTCACTGCTTGGGCTCAGAAAGCATGTGAGTGAGCAAACATTTTTGAAGACTCATGCTGTCACTTTGCATGTCACAGAAGCACAGAACAGTCTAGACACCCATCCCCATTAGCACACATTTTAAATCAAGCATGCTCAAATTAATCGTAGCTAATATGCGTTACTCTTAGCTGCTGCATAGCATATATTCTGAGTATGTTCAATTTAATAGTCAAGGCTCATTAAAGACATGTAATTCAAAAAAGGTTAAGAAGGACGCTTTATTTTTCTAAATCTTATTTTACAGTAACACCTCCAATTCCATATTCACAGAATGCCTCGTCCATGTTAAAGGAAGGAGGACGCTATGGTCCCCTCCACTTAGGGCTGTCAAGCGTGCCAAGGAGACAGGCTGTGAAGAATTGGCTTCTACCTCCCATGGTGTCGGCCACACAGGGGGCGCTCAGGAAACTCTGGGTGCCTGCCCCGCCCCCTGACGCGCCCCTAATTCAGCAGCATGGAATGATCCCTGTGTGAGCACAGCACTGGGGAGAAACATGGGGAGAAACAGTCAGATCCGAGGGATGGAGGGGCTTCCTCCAGGAGAAGCCTGGGAGGACGGGAAACAGGGAAGCAGAGCACCGCGGGTCCCCCATCTTAAAAGTCATTTCACTTCAAGTCACAGGACCTACTGGCGACATTAAGTGAGGGCTTTCTGTATTGGGTGGAGAAAACGGCACAGAACAAAATGTCCACTGTTCATACTTTCTTAGTCATCTTAGTCACTTGTCTAAGTGTATTTTCATGCAAAACAAACAAACAAAAACCCTGAAAACAAAAGGAGACTAATTTCTGACAGTGAGGACCTTTGCAAGCGCCTCCTAGCAATACTTGGGGTCCCCCTGCTTTCTTGTTACCCGTTTATCTAAAGAAGCAAGACACATTAAAAATTCAGCAGATTCACCTAGATGAACAATAGCATTCTTTTCATTTAAAACTAAACAAAGTAAAGCAGTTAAATGCTCCAAGTGGTGACAAATTATTAATGACTGTAAAGTGTGTATGAAAAATTCTCCTCAATGTTCCACAACATAAAGGTCACCCAGCTACCTTAGGAAAGATGAAAACCAAACACAAACGGAAGTCACCCTGTGGGGATATTGTTCAGCTCCGGGGATACCCCAGGGTCTGTGCTGGCGGCTGGATGGCACTTAAGACTCACACCCTCTGAAACGGGTTCTATTGTTCTGCCCACTTCACAGATGCAGAAACTGAGGAGGGAGAGCTATATCTTAGGTAATTACTTTCCAAATTCCAGCGTGATTGGCATCTCAGAAAAATAATAGGCTTCACATTCAAAGCGACACAGAAAGTGTCTCGGGAGCAGTAAGAAGAAAAATATGTTTCCCTGTGTACACCCAGTGGTGCCCATGCTGTGAAAAGCAAGTGAAATCAGACCCACTCGTGGGCAGAGAAAAACCAGAGCGACCCAGGACGCGGGTGGTCCTCGTGTCTGCTCTCCTCGGGCTGGTGGTCCTGGCACCTCGGAGAAGGGACGCTGCTGACCAGTGGCCAGAGGCTGGGCGCTCGCCTCCCAAGGCCCCTGCCGCGGGGCCTCGTGTCGCTTCCCACCAACACAGACCACAGATGACCCGACGCAGAGGTAACAGGACACACACTGTGCAGAACACAAGAACTACAGCTCCTGGCCACATCCGTGACAGCCCTAAATTGACACTCGTTTGCAGGGGATTCCGGAAAATGCTGAATCAGCTCCGGTGCAAGAGGAGAACCTCGACCTCAACTGACCTCCCAAATTTCCTCAAGACAGTCAACAGCCACTGTCATGCGACAGTCCCCAAAATAGGCCATGGCCATTATATCGACTTGGATTATATCGACTTGGACCCAATGGCTAAGGACACTTGTTAAGGGGGGATCACACTGACAAGCTTGATCCAAACTAACCCAGCTCACTCAGAGCAACGCACGAGGCCCACGATGAGGCCCCACTTCAATCAGCAGTACTGGCTAATACGAAACGCGGTTCCTTCTATCACTCGTTCACCGAGCAACTATCTGTGGAGCAGCTGCGTGCAGGCATTAAGCTAAGCCCTGGGTCTGCGGTCCTGAACGTGGCCTCTGTCCTCGTGCTCAGAGTCTGATGGAGAAAATGGATATTAAACAAAAAACACACATACACACAATCCCGAACTGCAGACTAGGAGCCTAAGTGACACCTGAGCCATGACCTCAGAGGAGCTGGCCACGAGGAACTGGACAGGGCGGGACTTCTGGGAACAGCTCGTGCAAGAGCCCTGTGGCAGCACCTGTGAGGGCTTGACGGAAGTCCAGGGTAGTGGGCAAGGGGGTAAGTGACACAAGACAGAGCTGGACAGTGACACGGGGGGCAGGGATGCAGGACTGGGTGAAGGCAGACAGCGAGAAGCCACGGTGGGGTTCAAAGCACAAAAGGGGAGCCCGGTGTATAGGTTTTAACCATCTTTCCAGCCACCATGCAAAGGATGAACTGAAGGAAAGGTCAGGAATGGAAGCGGACAGGTGAGCGGTTCCCGGGACCCAGAGCAGGGTGGTGGCCATGGGCAGAGTAGAGACAGACGCTGGAGGTGGGCTGTTCAGGTGGGACAGACAGAATGACAGTGGGGTGAGAAGAGGTGTCGATAATGACCTCCCCGCCGTACACTTTCTCACTGAGGGTGGTAGAAATGGAGAAACCGATACTAATTAATTCACGAGTCTAAGATACAGAAAACTGGTGTAAGTACTATTTATGCACTACTTAGGTTCAAAGACAGGCTAGGATAAATGCCAGCTAACCCTAAAACTATTGTGCACTCGGGGGTTCTATTCACTGCTGTAGTGGGTCCTCAGTGAATACTTGCCAAGTTTATAGAACAAGAATGTAAGTTTGATGATTTCACTGCACAATAAAATAAAGATAATAAAGGTGACTGTCCCTGCACAGAACAAGCCCTCAGTAAATTTCCCCACAAAGGTTTCTGGGAGCGGGACCAAGGCAGACAGGGAGCTGCTGTGACCCCGGGCCTGCCGTGAGCTTGGCAGGCTGCTGAGTTTAGGGTAACATTACAAATGTACATTTTCAGTGAATCACATGTCTCCTGATAAATAAAACGAATGTTTCAACTGTCAATAACAATCAAAATGTAAACAACCAAGATTTATATGTATAATCTCCCACAAGGGACGAATACAGTGAAATCGATTCACTATTTACTATACATTTCAAGATGTTTATTTAATAGGTGTCTTTTTTAAACAAAACAAAAAGAAGACGCATCCTATCATTAGTTTGAAAAATGCTGACTCAAACAGGTGTTATCACGTCGCTTAACAGTGTGACCTGTTACTCAGCCAGAGGGGAATGTGGCCTGCATTTCTCCAACTTTCCCTAACCCTGGAACCCTCGTGTCATGAAATAGCCAAAAACTAGTGTTCCACAGAACCCGGTTTGGGAAATGCTTGTCTATTACTTAACATTGTGGCACTGTGAATAACAAACAAATATATATATATATATATATATATATATGTATATATATATATAAATATATATATTACCAGTTACTTTTCATTAATCACATTGGACAGGAGAAAACATTAAGAAGCTTAATATAATACCCAATATTCCAGACTAAAGAGGCCTATTACTAGCTCAGAGCTTACTTATCATGAGCCACTTGGCAAAACTCAAGCTTACACATTTGACTTTGGAACAAAATTCATTTCTAAATTTTTAGAAAATAAATTTCTAATTTATATTTAGTTTTTTGACCTTTAGAAATGGTGTAGTGTAAAAATTTTTAAAAAATACTTCTGTAAGGAACTTGAGAAGCATAATTTAAACACAGCTAGAACTTAAGAAATCATTTAGAACATTTAAACCAACTTCATCCTATTACTTGTACTATTTGCAAAGGAAAAACATAAGATAATTACCAAGTGGAGTGGCCCAGGCGGCGGGCTAGGGATTAAAGAGAGTTTGGCAGCAAAATCTTTTATATGATTGTCCACTTCAAAATCTTTACAGTACTTCAGATGAGTCAATAAACTGAAATTAAAAAACAAAAAAAAAGTCAAATCACAAAATAAATATGAGAATCCAACTGTCACCCTTAGCATTTCTAATCAAAGCAGAAGTCTGTAAGGGCCACGTCAGCAACTCTAATTCTTTCATCCACAGGAGAGTGGCTACCCAGGGTGGGGGCAGTGCCTGGGACAGGCACGAGAGGAGCTTGGGGGTTTTGGGGTGGGGGGGCTGGGGTGTGCTGGCCGCATTCTGTTTCTTGACCTGGGTGCAGGTTTCACGAGTGTGTTCCCTTTGTGAAAAGTTCCTGGGATGTGTGCATGTCTCTGTGTGTTATACTTCAGTGAGGAACAAACATCCTCGCAAAGGGAAGTGCTTGAGAAAGGTTCCAAAGTGCATCCTGACGTTCGAAGTACATGATGTAAAAGTATCATGGGACAGTGGGTGCCTGGGGCAGAGGGGCTGGGACAGGACTGCAAGGGGCACAAGTGAACTTTCGGGGTGATGAAAATGGCCTACGTCTTAACTGTGGTGGTGGTTGCACGGGTGTGCACTTTTTGCAAAACTCAGCCAACTGTATACTCAAAATGGGTGGGTTTATTGCCTGTCAACCGTACCTCAGTGAAATTGACTTAGATATTAAAGTGTTCACGTCCATAAAAATGGATAAGCTCTAGGGACTCTGATTTCCTAAAAATTACAAAAACGGGCAGTGTGACACACGTTGTAATAGACAAGCTCATTTGTTCATTCACTTGATGCTTTCACTCAGATACTTGGGTGATGCACCACGTGACAAGTCCGGGTCTGGCCCCAGGGTCAGAGCTGTGGAAGCCAAGGAGACACAGCTCAGCCCTCCAGAGGGGCAGGCTTTCAACTCAGTGTCCGCATTCAGACAGTTACAGATTCTACCCAAAAAACCTAATTTTGTAAATGTGAGTACAACTCATCCGATTTTCTCAGATAGCCAGGAAAAGTTTTTCCTGATTTGTGTCTCTTTTTTAAAAACCCAAGGAAAACAAAATCGTCCATGTTAACTTTATTTCCAGTGGTTTGCCTTGGTCTTCCTTTTCCTGTCATCCTGTCCCCGTGTTATCATTTCCAGAACAAGCTAGGTTTTCACAAGCGCTCCTGTGGCCAAGCCTGAGCCTGCCCCGATGACCCGTTTGAGGAGGTGGCCCTGTGGTCCGGAGAGCACAGCGCCGTGGCTCACCAGGAGAGGCAGTCTCTGAGTGCGTTGTAATAGGGGAACCTGGAGACCACGCAGACCGCGAAGGGCACGAAGCAGCCCGTGGCACCCCCGGTCGGCCGGGGTGCCTCCCAGTGGGTTTGGCCATTGTAGAAACAGTGCTCGTCCTAGAGAAACAGCAACAGACATGTCACCTCCAGACCCGGCAGATCTATCTCCAATAGGGTCAGTATTTGCAGACAGAAACAGAGCTTCAGAGGCTGGACAGACTCGGCCTTCTCCAAGACAGGCCCGTGCACGCTCCACCTTCACTGCCAAGTGACAGCGAGCACTGGCCTTGCAATCAACAGTGCCAAGTGCCTGCACCATAGAGGTGCTGAGGCTACAAAGAAGGGAAGGTGTGTCCCTGCCCTGGAGAAGCCGGCAGGCGTGGGTGAGAAGGAACACAGCGGGACACAGAAGGGGCCCCGGAGCTCGGGTTAAAAAGGAAGAAAACGCAGCAGCATTTGTAGGTGCCTGGGAACCAGGTGGGCGTCTCGGGCAGGAAGAGGGACCTCGCTCGTGACAAGGGATGTCAGCCGGAGAAGCAACACAGCAGCAGGTTCCTAAGGCACAGCTCACTGGGGACCTTCCAAGTGGCATCATATTTGGGGCCTACAACCCGGGCCTGGCGGTGGGGGCTATTTGGGGAGGGTTGGAAGGGCATGGTCTCTTCAGTTAGGGACGTTTTGGACTTGAGGTGCTAGTACGATAGCCAGGTAAAGGCAGAAGCCCGGGAAACAGTCGGCTATGTCATCTGTCTACCCACCAACGTTTAATGAACGCCCACTGCTCTGGAGTCAGTCTGCTTATATTCAAATCCTGGTTGCTGTGTGACCTCAGGCAAGCCACTTAACCTCTCTGTGCCCCCCCATTGTCTCATCTGGAAAATGGGGATGGTTCTCATACCCCAACCTCATTCGTCGTAGTAAGGGTTAGATGAATTACTATGCATCCGGGTCGTGCCTGGCGCTGAGCTGCTCGTGCGCATGGGCTGCTGGTGTTGTCATGACTGTGAAAGTCAGAGGCGAGCCCAGGGGATGGCCTTGGTTAGAAGGAGACACGTCCAGACCAGGCAAAGCCACAGAGGCAGAAAGTGAAATGAATGAACAACAGGGACTCATATGTTCCGTGTATTTCACAATAGAAAAACACCTCGGCCCCATCTCGGGGGTCACCTACGTGTAGCGGCCGGTAGAACTGGGCAACCACACCGTATGTTCTATTCCCGCAGACATCAGTCAGCACCAGGAAGTGGACACAGTCCTCCATGGCTTCAGAGGCCACACACATGCCTCCTGTACATGGAGAAAAAACAATTTGTGAAGCCTGGGGTGACGGCAGGGGTGGGGGTGTCCCAGCTGGCTCCCCGGTTTATAATCCCTGAGACCAAGGAATGGTATGGCTTCTCATGGAAACGACCAGACAGGTACTTAGGTCAAGTCCTTCGTCTGAGCTTTCTATACCGGCCACTGTAACATGTCTCCAAGAGCAGCGGAAAGCTGACGCCCCCAAACACAAGCCTGATCCTTCCAGAAATGGGCCAGTTTGGGGGAAAAAACACAACCTGTGCTTCTGGTCCAACGGACCCAGAAAAATGGGTAGGAGGGGCAGCACTGGCTAACGGGACATCATTCACCCGCCTGCCAGGCCTCAGAAGCACTGAACAAACCGTACACTCCGGCAATTCTACATCCTGTCTCCCAGGACTCAGCGTTCCGGGAAATGTGGACTTCACTAAATGCTCTAAGCTGCCCTTTAGCTTTGACACTCCCAAGACCAGGACAGCTCAATCCCGCGATAGGACGCAGTGGGCCTGAGGGGTCACGGGCTGCCTCCGGATGTACCTTCCTGAGTGCGATGACTTCTAGACACAGATCACTGGTGTGGACCTAAAGGCCCGTGGCCCCGGGCACAGGTACCTGGGAAGCACAGCTGAGGCAGGGCGAACAGGTCCACGCCGTTGGGGATCCTAACATCTTCGGAGTCGGGCCCTCCAGGGCCCTCCAGGAGGCCCTTCCCGGCCTCTGCTTTGGGCTTCTCTCTCTTCTTCCTGAAGGAACGCCTCTTGGTTTTGTTCAGAGTCACGCAGTTCGCACCAGCTGCCTGGCTGTCCTTACTGACGAAGGGAGGCACAAAAACGGACAGAACCTCCGGATCCAGAGAAGGAAGATTTTGGACTCCCCTTTTCTGAGCAACCTAAAACAGGCAGAAATCAGAGTTATTGCAATGGTGTCGGGCTTGTCCTGGTCTGTCCCTTCCACCTAAGCATCCACTGTTTTCTTTGTCTCCCCTTTGTACCCACCAACGCAACAGAGAGCGGTTTTGCATTGTCAAGGGCGTGGCTTCTCCCGCCAGTGGCCCCTGACAGTCAGGACGGCCTTGGAAGGTGCTGTTAGGAGCTGCTCAGGCCCGATGTTCAGGCAAGTCGCATGCCGGCTCGGAGCCTGGTTCAGCGGCCGTTAACATGGACAGCACCGAACGTCCCTCCTGAACAACGCCCAGTGCCGTGATGGGCAGACCTGAGTTCAGATCCGGGCTCTGCCTCCAACTGCTGCAGGAAACTACTTCCTCCCAGGCCTGAGCCTCCCTTTCAAGGGGTGAGGGAAGGAAATAAAGTGGACACTGCAGTGCCCAGCCCTTGTGGGTCCCCAGGAAGTCCCCATGTCCCCTCCAGGCTGGTGGGGAGGGCAGTGAAGGCCTCTATATGTATATTGTCAAACCCTATGCAAACATGTTCCCGACACTGCACCCCACAAGCCAGCGGGGCTGTCACGTATGTTAGTTCTGCCACCACAGACCTGGGAAGATGGAGAGAGAAGTGGGGATACAGGAAGAGACATGTCCTCCCTCCATCGACCACATGGTCCCTTGGGATCAGTAAAAAGGGGCTCATTCATTCACCTGAATTCTTCTAAACTTGAACTTGGTACACGATTTTTCTTTAACCTCTTCCTTGCCTTCTTACCCCAAATAACATAAGGAACGTGGGCTTCTCTCTCTTTTCTAACTACAGTGCCTGGTGGTGTTTTCACTACAGAGTCAGGACAAAACCCACTTTGCTGCCAGGGTGATTTTTGATCTTTCAGCGCATCGGAAACGCAGTTCATGAGAGAGAAGGAAGTGGCTCAGGTGCCAAGCCAGCTGAAAATAGAAAAGCCTGAAGCGGGGCCCTCCGGGCGCAGAGACGTGGACAGGGAAGAGGGCTGGGACAGGGTGGGGAGTAGAAACTGTTTGTTTCTAGGGTCTCTGAGGGACCCTGGAAAGGGCATCAGGAAGGACATCAGTGTCACCAGGAGAAATGTGACCTTGACCAGCACAACACCTCACTTAGAATCAGTGGTACCAACAGGGGACTTTTACGTTTAAAAGGATTTATACAATGACAGCACTTTTCAGTCACTAAATACACTCGAAAGTCAGCACACTTATTTTTATGCTACATAATTTAAATTCAGTCAATCATTTCTTTACATGTGGGGGGAAAAAATTAATACCAGTAGGGCCCATGACCAAACATGGGTAATTCAGATTACTGTATAACTTTAGGACCTTCTGTGGATCACGCAGGAAAGGAACCCACTTCTTCAGTTACAGGAAACCTTTTCTAAGACTTTCCTTTCAAAACCCGGCAGTTCGAACCTAACTAGCTGTGAACCTATACGTTCCATTTCTTCCTCATGCAAGAAGTCATCGTATCCATAGGGACTGGGCAGGACACCAGCCTGTGCGCAATCTCGACTGAAATCACAGTCAGGGAAGCGATGCGTTTGCTCCGGGAATACACGAGGTCGCCCGCGGCCCCTTTTCCCAAACGTCCCGAGCTGCCGCCCTTTGCTCTTCTCCCTCGGCCCTCCTGCTCCTCAGCGGCCCCCTCTTTCCAGCTGTCACCCCCCAGGGCTGAGCCCTTGGCCCCAGTCCCTCCTCAGGCTTCTTTCCAGCCTGACTATAACCCAACTGCCTCCCACATACCCGGGTGAGTCCCCAAAACTTGCAGCTTCAAAAATTAAGCTCCTGCTCGTCTCCCCAGCCCTGACCCCCCACCTATCCGCTCCTCAGCCATGAAGATGGCGCCCACAGGGTCTTCAGAGCTGGGACTCGCCCCCACCTGCAAACCCACACCCAGGGTCAGGGGACTCAGAAAGGTCTCTAAACACAGCCTCCGCTGTCCCACGTGTAGCACACCGGGCACCGCACAGCCCATGCCCAGTCAGTAGATCTACCAGAAACCAATCCTTCAAGGTCTCTGCCGAGGGAACGCCGTGGCCTCCTGTACCTGGCCCAGGGCTCCCCACCTGCCTCTGTGTCCACTCTCCCAAAGGGGGGCGCCCCTGTCTGAAGAGCACACAGGGATCACTCACCTGTCCCAACTGGCCCTAGCTCCCGCCACCTGGGGTCGGCCTCTTCCCTGCGGGTCACCCCAGCAGACCAGCCCCTTCTGTGGGCCCAACCCAGTCCCGCAGACCCATCTCTGTCCTTCCACCAGACGGAAAACCGTTTGTTTCTCTACATTGCCACCATTACTGTACATCCCGTGTATGTGTCACACGTGTGCATGTGCCACAGGGCAGGCTGACCACCAGGGGTGGCGGTGCACCTGAGTAGCAGGCCAGCCTACTTCGGAGACCTGGGTGCCCCCAAGGGTGCCCCCAAAGCCATGCAGGACTGAACCCCTCAGTCATTCTCCAAACACATGGGCCTGTCACAGCTGTGCTTTTCCCTGCTCACCCCTCTGCCTGGCATGGGCCATGCCCACTCCCGGTTCCTCCTTGTCACCAGCAACCCTCCCCCCTTCGCTTTCCCTGGAGAGGGCCTTTCCCACCCTACAGGCAGGAGACAGGCCTCTCCCAGACGCCACCTCCCTCTCACCTCCTTCCAGATTCCCCGCCCCCAGCTCCTCCTGGAACACAGCTGCCCTGTGCAGTAGTTCCATAGCACCTTCGGAGCTGTGGGTGGAGTGAGGCAGGGACCCTACTGTTGCCCTTTGTGTCCCCACATCTAGCTCGGCAGATGGCACAGTGGCTGCCCTTCATCCATTCATACCCCAGCCCTTGGTGATCCCTTAGGCTTAGAGGCACGCTCATCTGGTTTGAATATTGGTCATCACACTGAAGCCAATAAAACTCTCTGTCATTCCCTCTTTTTCTCTGCATCCCCTTAAAGTGATAGGGCCCAATCCAGCCAAGCTGGCATTCGGCAGGTCATCACACATCTGTTTTTTTCCAAAATGGATAACTTTTCCATTGTTGCCTTTTCTGATTGGATAAGCAATACAGACTGATTTCAAAAATAACGACATAAATTAAAGAACAATAGAAAAGGAAGGCCTCCCCATGAGTCCATGAGTCAAAGGCAACACGCATGCTTCCCACTTTTTATATATATGTATCATTATTTTCGTAAATATAATCATCCCATTTAAAAGGTTCCAATAGCTATGGTCTTCTCCCCCCACTTAACCACACACTGTGGCTGACTTCCCTGTGCCCACTGCACGGTGTCACACTGTGGGCCGAGTCAGCTGTGTATTCGCCGAGTCCCCTACCGAGGGGCAGCGGGGTTGCTCTCAAGTCTTCAGGCTGAACAACGAAGTCTCACCCCTACATACGAGCACATGTGCGACCCTTTAATGAGAAGCAATTCCTGAACGTACCATCTGGGATTTGTCCAGATGTTACCTCGTGACACATGTTGCAGCAGCCCGCTCACCCTGGGAAGACCAGTTCCATTTCCAAAGACTCTGCCCAAGTGATGTTCTGCTCATCTCGCCCAGACATGGATGTAGTAAGCCCCTCCCCAATAAACAGCATTTTAGTTTAAAAAAAAAAAAGCAAGCTAATTAAAAGAACCACAACACCCTAATCATTTGAGTCACAGCTTTCTGTTAGACTACACAGTGCCACTGCTCTTCACTATAAGATTGGCCTCATTTGTGAAATAGAACAGGAATTAATAGATTTTTTTAAAAAAAAACGCTCTACAACTGTGCTCACACAGTTGCCAGTAGCCACATGTGGCTATTTAACTTTAAACTAATTAAACTTAAATGAAATGTAAAATCCAGTTCGTCAGTGGCACTAAGCACAGTCCAAGCACCAAGGGACCATATGTGGCCAGTAGCTACCATATTGGAAAGCACAGGTAAAGAACACTGGTTGTCATCATCCAGAAAGTTCTGTTGGACAGAACCAGTCTAGAAACTGAAAGCCAGGATGCTCTCCACTGAAAACCATAAACATGGGCCTTTGCACACAAGAACTGAGCTAGTGACCTACATTACGCGTCTGAGAGGTGCTCTGAGCACTTTTCTACCACAGTGTGATGGATTTGTGCCAGATCCCTACACATCTTATGTCTAGTCTCCATAGCAACCAAGGAGTGGAGGGAAACATAACGAACCTCATAACTCACATGGGGATTGAAGTGTATTCTCAAATTCTTAGTCACTATCCTCAACAAAACAAACACCATTTCATCTAAGAAATAAATAAAACACAAAGTTAGGACACTGCACTTGGATAGTTCTCATACCTCTGGGCTCCATTTTTAGGTCTCACCAAATAGGAATGCCTGAATCACAGCGAAATGATGATTTAAAAGAGCAAAATTAAAATTTCTTGAAAAGCCTTGGGTATTCAAAACAGAACTGCTATAAAAATAAAACTAACTAAATAAAATCAAGTTTGGTTAATTGCACCATTACGAACGTAGGCCTTGCACGTGGGACCACTCCGGGAAGCTTAACTCATGTCTTAACACTTCTTTTGTCCCCCTTTACTCCTTCAGCTACTTTTTCCTCTGAGCTTTGCCAAACCCCTAACAGAATCAGATTATAGCCTAAAAAGGATAAAAGTTAAAAGGCAGAGGAGCAAACTGCCCGCTCGACCTGGGACGATATCGCAGTTTGGTTCAGGGACGCACCACTGGAACATTCCAGTTGATTCATTCTGCTCTCAAAATGTATGTCTCACATTGAGGCAACTAAGAGGCGTGTTGTAATGGCCCAAGAAGCAACGCCGCCTGACTGAGGAGGAAACCTGCGAAATGGCCTGCTGAAACTGGGTCATTTCCTATGAGAAGAAACAGGAGGAACCACCATTGAGCAAGTTACAGGCAGGGAGACAACCAACTAAACTGATGAGGGTCAGAGGAGGCAGACATCAAAAAGGGGACACAGACATTATCGGGGTCCAGGAAGTAAGAAAGGGGAAGGGAACTGAAGAAATCGAAATTGGCCAAGGAGCAGAGACCAGCAGAGCATAAACAGACATTTATTTGGTTAATTTTAGCAACACTTAGCTTCTCTGGGGGACATCCATTCAACCCCACAATCTTAATATGCAAACGCCTTTCTCTGCCTTTCATTGACTTGCTCAGAAAACTGGGCGGTAGAGTTGGGGAGTCTCTAAACACACTGGGCATCACCCCTAATCAGAGAAAAACGACAGCATCACAGACACCCATGGCCAAGAGTAAAGGAGGGCCTCGGACCCATTCGAAAGAAAGCCGGGTTCCGGAGCTAAGAAAAAGTGAGAACGTGGGAAAGAAACAAGGAGAAGGAGAATGTCCAACACTGATGCTTTCCCAGGAAAAAGGACATGAGTCTGTCACTTTGGCTGCTTGGATGTAGAGGCAGAGAAAAGGGGGGTGGGGTGGGGGGCAGCCTCTCCTGTAGGTGAGAAAAGCAGCTAGGTTTCATGACAAAACGACTAAAGGCAGGATACTTCAAGGCGGCCCTTAAATCGAACACTTAACCTCTCGTTATGCTGTGCCCAGAACCGTGCCCGCCAGCTAAGCAGACAGGGAACCTGCACAATGAGCTAAATTACTTAACGCGTAACCAGCAAGGGCTCCGTGCAGGAGGCCGCGTTTGTCTCGCCCACAGATCGTGACCTCGGCCAGTGGGAGGACTTCAGACGGAGCAAGTAGCCAGGGAGGGGGAGCACTCAGAGAAACACCTGACGGACTGGCTCCCAGCAATCGCCGGAATGACTCCGGAGGGTCCCCCCCCAGGAAGTGCTGGGGGGACCCAGCAGTGGCAGCCACTCCCGTGCTCGGCAGACGCGCGGGTCCCCGCCCGGAAGACGCCCCAGGGAAGGGGAGAGGGCGCGGGGGTCCTTCGGGCGCCGACTTGGGGTGCGCCAGGTCCTGACCCCGCTCACCGACCGCCGCACGCCTCCGTCTCCCCGTGAGGTCCTTACCTGCTCGGGGCCGCGAAGGCTGTCCCGGGGGGCCCCCAGCAGCGCGCAGAGCTCCAGCAGCCCCGAGGGCAGCGCCAGGTGCTGCGGCGCGGCCTCCGCCATGGCTGCTCGGCGGCCGCGGCCAGCTGGGCTCCCCCAGCTCCGGCTCCTCCGGCCGCCCGGCCCCGCGCTCGGTTCAGCAGCTCGCTGGGTTTGCCAGGATTGCCGTCCGCGGGGCGGGGCCTAATGGGGGCGGGGCCAGATCGGGGGCGGGGCCAGATCGGGGGCGGGGTCTGAAGAGCCGGCGTGCGGCCCGTCCGAGAGCGCAGGGCCCTCCTTCGGGGAGGACCCGGCGGGGGCGGGCGCGGGGCCCAGCGCGAGGATGTCATTTCCGAACGCGCCGGGCGGGTCCACGCGCGCAGCCCCCCTCCCGGGCAACCGAGGAAGGAAGGGGCGCGGTCCCCAGGGGGTCGGTGACTCTCCCCGGCCCCCGGAGCGGAGAACGAATGCGTCCCTGCTCCAGCAGGTCCTCGGGCCCACCTTGGAGGACGTGCAGGGACCGAGTCCAGGTGCGCCCCGCGCGGCTGCCGCCTTCAGGAAGCCCTCTGGCGCCCAGGGCCTGGGACGTGGCCGGGCGGGGACCGCAGGAAGGGCCTGCGGGAAGCGGGTGGAAAGACCTATTCCTGGTTAATAACTCTGCTCGGTTAACCTAAAGCTGGCCGGGTTGAGTGCAATTCAGCAGGGAAAGGGGCTGGGTGGGCACCACTGCAATGGAGCCTGGAGCACAGGACTCAAGGAGGGTCTGAAGTCAGGGCCCTTCCCAGCCGGTTCCAGGCCTGGCCTGACCCCTGTGGACTGGTGGCCTCCTCCGGCCCATGCTGGGCCCAGTGAAGGGGAGCTGTCTGCTACCTAGGGGGCTGGTCATTGAGCACAGGACGGGCGGGGACCGGGTCCCAGCTGGCCTTGGGCAGATCTCTGTCCCATCTGGACCCTGGCATATGCATCTATAAAACCGAAAGGGAAATGACTCCAAAGGGACTTTTCTAGTTCTAATAATCTACGATTTTTTAATCAGCAATGCTTAATAGTAACATCAAGCATCTGCCATCAGCCTAAGAAAAACGTAACCACAGGCAGTGTGGAAATCCCAAGGGGGCAGGGCGGGCCTGGACCTGGAAGGCAAGGATTCCTTCATCCTTTCCATGGGAGAGGCCCACAGCCTGACTCACAGGACTTGTGTTTCACTCATAAAGTCACCCAACGACTGTGAGTCACGGCTGGTTCCTACTGAGGTCTGGAGCCAGCCTGGCATCCATGGCTCTCACGGGTGAGCTGATGAGTAGCTACAGCCACGGACTTCAAAAGAAGAATGGATTTTGCTCATGCTTGTCTGGCTCTCTCCACGGTGTCCTCGTTGTTGGTGGCCTCAGCAGAGGGCAGGGCAGAGTCTGTCACCTGGGAATCCCCAGTGCCCAGGAGAGAGGCTGGAAGTCACCAGCTGGAGGCACGAGCCTAGCCTGGACTCTGGCTCCCATGTGTGCTGTGTGACAGCCAGGCTCTTCAACGGCCTTAAACCTCGGCTTCCTGTTTGTTCAAACTGCCGGAAGGTCAGGATTCGGGGATGTAAACAGTTGGCAGCTGTTGAGCTGGGGACCCAGTCAGGCTCCACCAAGAGCAGGTGTCCCTTTTCCTCTGAGAGGTGGAAGGGTGTAAGGAATGGAGTTCAGGTGGAGTGGACAGCGGGTTGGCTCCAGCAGTGTGCGGGGCTGCGTGATTCTGGTTTTCTAGGCCTACCTTTCTCATCCCTCACACCAGAGAGGGGCCAGGTGACCTCCCCGGGGCTCCCAGCTCCTCATTGTGCTGTTTAATAAGTCCCCAGCACTCATGCTGCCAGGGCTTCCAAGGTGTCTACGGAAAGCTTTGCGCTATCCTTCAGAAAGTGCTAGTGAGATATGAGACAGAAATGGAGATAACCAGTGTTGGAGAGGAAAACTTTTCCCTTCTAGCTCCTTTGGCTGGTCTAATAATTAAACTGCCAAGACAGATTAACAAGAAAAACATTTAATTACATATGTATAGGAGCCCCATAAGAATATGAGACCCCAGGGCCGGCCGAATGGCTCAGTTGGTTAAGAGCTCACTCAAGAGTGCGAGCTCTGGGCCGGCTGAGTGGCGCGTTGGTTAAGAGCTGAATTGGGATGCCAGAGGGCCCCGGTTCGGATCCCACATATGAGGGCCAGTGACGCTGCCCTCCACAGCTAAGATGCTGAACAACAGCTCAACCTGGAGCTGGGCTGCCGTGAGTCGCCAGCAACAGCGTAGGCTGCAGCCCCTGCTGCAGTGGGTTGCCATGGGCTACCGTGTGTAGTCAGCAGCCAGCATGAGCGGCCAGCAGCCACAGTGAGCGGCTATCTGATCTGCCTCGCCCTGGAAGAGCGCAATGATGGTGCCAACTTGGGCCAGTGAAGCAACATCCTCCACAACTAGACTGAAGAACAAAAGGACAGCAACTTGTCTGTTCCCCTTCCCCCAGTTCCCCAATTAAAAAACAAAACAAAACAAAACCTCATGGCAACAACAACAAAAATAAACAACAACAAAAATAGGGGGTGAATGTGTGGGACGCTCAGTGTCCTGCTCTAGAGAAAGGGGCTGGGGATGAGTTTATATAACAGCATGTGGCACAGAGCAGCTCAGAGCCCACACCAGCCTGCCCAGTTCCATCCACTGGGCCTACACTGGGGCAGAGGTACCAGGCTTAGAACCAGGGGACTGGCTGTGCCCCCTCTGGGGTGTAATCCTGGGCAACTCTCCCCACCTCCCTGAGCCTCAGTTTCCTTATCTGCAAAACAGGACAATGCCCGCCTCACAGGCTGCTGGAAAAATTAACTCTGCCAATGGGTGGGGAAAACCGCGTGCAGAGAGCAGAGCTAGGCCAGTGTAAGGGATCTGCCTGGACAGGCCAGCCGTCTCTCATCCTGAGTCGTGGTTCCCTTATTTCTGTTGGGTGTTTATTGAGCTCCTGCTGTATTCCTGGTGCTGTGACAGCAGTCAGGGACAGGAAGAGTAAAATACAAATACAGGACTCTCCTACCCCCTCCCCGGGCGACCCCAGTAAATGTGAGAGAAGGAAGAAGAGGGTGCTGTGAAATCAGAGAAGTGACCCGGCTTGAAGTTCAGGAAAGAGGAGAACCCCCTGAAACCAGCCACAAAGGGTGAAGAGGCAATTTTCGGGAGAAAAGGCCCAGAGGGCGTGGCAGGCTGGGCAGAGGGAACAGCGTGGTGAGTGCAGAGGCCCAGGAGCAAGCCCTTGGGCCCTGAGCGGTGGGAGAGGTGCCTCATGCCCACTGCTGGCCCCTGGCACCTGGAACAGCGCCCCGTGCATGGTGAGGGCTCCGTGCACCCTTGGGGAGGAATGAAGACAGCTGGAGAGGGGGCAGGGGCCAGATCGGGAAGGTGCGGGCACCATGCTTGGGAGGCTGGCATCTATCCTGGGGATCACAGCAAGTGGCTGGGGACTGCGACCAGGAAAGAAATGGGGCCAGTTTGGTATTTGAGAAAGCTGACGGAGGCTGTAGCTCAGAGGCAGGAGAGCAAATGTGAATTCTGCAATCATCAGGCAGGGGAGGGAGGTCTGAATGGGCAGCGGGTGCAAGGCGGGCAGTGCCGAGTGACACACGCTCAGGAGGCAGGATCACCAAGACAGGGAGGGATCGGGGAAGGGGCAAGCGTGACCCCAGGTTTCCCCTCCCTGGCCCCACACACAAGACCAGGCCCCCGTACCACCTGCCCAGTGTGGATGACACCATACGCTAGAGGCTTATTGGCCTGTATTCCTGCCACCGGTACAGAGTCAACCGTCACTTATGGAGGAAGATCCCACGAGGGCCAGGCAGGGGGGGACAAAGGAGCCTCAGAGAGACAGATGGCCTCAGCAGGTCTGTGGACACCTACGTGGGACAGCCCACAGGCTGTGTGCGTGTACCAACTTACACACCGTCACGTTTAGGTCCAGGCCTCTGTCTTCCCTCAGCTATGGTGGGAAAAGACGGGAGAACCTTAAGAGAGCCAGAGAGTGGTCATAATAGGATGACCCCTAAGCTCTGGCGTGGCATAGAAATGACGGCGCCACAGCTAATGGCACGGCAGCTGCTGGGCATCCCGGTAGCCGTGCTGCGAAAAGGGGCCCCCTTGCCAAACGCCCCTGGCTTGCCCAGACAGCCTGCTCCTGCCCTAACCAGCTGTAACCCCAGTGTGAAAAGTTGTTTTCTCTTTTAAAAATGAATAAATAAGAGGAAGCCATGTGTTGGTGAATGCTACCCGCCCAGACTCACGTGGAAACTGCCACCTCTGGGCTCGGTATCCCGCAGGATGGCGAAGGGTACAAACGGTGGCTCTGAACCCCTGCCGCAAGTAAGAATCCCCTGGGACGGTGCAAGAACCTCCCAGCGGGTCTGTGCTGAGCGGCGGAGGACCACGTGTTGGGCTGGCTGGAAAGCTGTCATCTTACAGGTACCTCAGGCCATTCGAACGTGCAGCCAGGCTTCAAAACCACTGGGCCCAAGCTATATTTAGTCAGTTGTAAAACGGAAGTAATGGTACTTCCCTCCCCCAAGTTAAACATTCAGTTTTGCTCAACAAACACTGTGCACCTACTGTGTGCTGGCCGCTGCCGTGCCTGACAGTTGTGGCACATAGTGGGGCTGAACACATGCAAGTCAATTAGAATCTGCCCCATGTGGACGCAGCTTAGCGCCCACAGGCTGCGTGACCCGCTCTGTGTGTGCCAGTTCCCAGCGCCCAGCCCTACGCCTGGCACAAAGCACTAGATGCACAAGGAATACTTGACGAATAAACGAATAAAGTTCCATTGTCCATTGATTGGGGCCATCTGTGCAGTGGGGTGCCGTTCAACAGCCGTGCACCTACCTAACACTGAATAAGAGAGTCAAGTCACAGGAAACACACACAGTGTGGCGCCATTTAACCAAGTCCAAGCACGGACAAAACACACGTGCCTAGGAAACTATTAAGGAGAGCAAAGGGTGGTAGCCAGGTTCAGGACGGGACTGGTCTCGGTGGCCCTCTGATGCTTCAGTAGGCGGGGTGGGGGTGTCCGTGTTACAATGGTTAGACATGTGCTTTGTAAATGCGAAAAAGTTGATCAGAAAAAAAGAAAGCATCCGTGGCCTCGTCCATTCCCGGAATA